GTGTGTGTGTGTGTGTGTGTGTGTGTGTGTGTGTGTGTGTGTGTGTGTGGATATGGACTTAAGCTTCTACATCAATCAATATTTCTGTAAGATTTTGTAAAAAATGCTTCTAGGCATTTTAAGGATAAAATTTCAATATAAATGTCAATTCCAACCTGTAAGTTTTTTAAAAGTACTTTTTGTAGAACAACAACACAGTTTTGTGTTTTGTAATCAAAGAGTTCAAATATCCCTTGACCTGACCCATTCACAGACAGCTTTTCTGTTGTTTTCTATCTCTCTTTCCGTCGGGATAGATATATATATTTAATTCTTCCAATCGCCTCTCCAACCTCTAGTTTAGTTCCCTGTATTGCTTAGTGAATGAACTCCCTCGCCCTAATTCCAGCAGCCTGGTTGCCCTCCACTCTTGCCACGACTTCTGGGCTCCCGACTTTCTCTCCAGGGACGGTCCTTTCTCCCGCAGAGGCCCCAGTCACTGCACACTTGACGGGGTGGCGGGACGCGCGCCCGAGGAGGAGGCGGCGAAGGGGCCCGAGCCGTTCCAGCGGCGGCGCTCGGAGCAGGGCTTGGCTGGAAGCCTGGAGGCGGGCGGTAAGCGGACAACACCTCCGCGGTGGCTCGGGGGAGAGATACACCAGCCGGAGGACAGTCGGAGGGGATCTGCGACCGGGGCAGGAGGCAACCACTCCCTGCCCGCGTGGCGATCGCCGGGAAGCAGCTGGCCCCGGACCGGTGCGTCGGCCGGGAATCCCTAGGAGCCGGGCCGTGGGGCGCGGGGCGGAGCGGGGGCGGGGCTCGGACCCGGATCTCTCTAGACCTGGGGCATCTCCGACCGAGGCGTGGCCCAGACACCTCCGCGCGGTTTCTGGCGGGTTAAGAGGGGAAGCCGCTGCCTTTCTCAGGCGTCGCCACCCCGCCTTCTCCAGGCTCGAGTTCAGCCTACAAGTTGCAGCCGCCGGAAAGTCTACCCTCAGAAGAAGAGCATCTGCCCTCTGGACATAGTTCTCCTGTTGGTGGTGGGACTTGTTGAGGGCCGCAGAGGCTCCGGGGACTGACCCAGCCTGCGGGGAGAGGGCTGGAGAGGGCCAGAGGACCTCGCAGAGCTCGGGCCGCCGTCGGGGCTTTTGCCAGGCAGGGGCGCTGATCTGGGCTCCTAGATTCCGTGGACCCTGCGAGTGCCCGCGTTGATTTCGCTCGCTCTCCCCTCATCCGCCAGGTGACCCAAGCGACCTCTACTGTGCACACTTCTGATTCTGTTTCTCAAGATTACCCTCTCCGTCCCGGAAAGGCTGGCGCGAACTGCAGGTGCCAGGCTGTAGCCCCGACGACCTGTGGTCTCTGCGGAGAGTTGCATTTGGAGAGAAGGGCTGGTATCCCAGCTGCCTTCTATCCCGGTGGCCTCCATGCTCCTGTCATGTTTAACAGGACTAGCGGCTGGAATAGTCTTCCTGCATTTCTTGCAGAAACTCCTGTTTCCTTACTTCTGGGACGATTTCTGGTTCCTGCTGAAGGTGGTACGCTATGGAATTCGGATGGAGAAGTACGTCCTGAAAGGGGAGCTGTTCACAGTCCTGGATAAATTCCTGAGTCTTGCCAAGAAGCAGCCCCAGAAACCTTTCATCATCTATGAGGGGGACATCCACACCTATCAGGATGTAGACAAAAGGAGTAGCAGAGTGGCCCACGTCTTCCTGAACCATTCCACGCTGAAAAGGGGGGACACCGTGGCTCTTCTGATGAGCAATGAGCCTGACTTCGTCCACGTGTGGTTCGGCTTGGCCAAGCTGGGCTGCGTGGTGGCCTTCCTCAATTCCAACATTCGCTCCAACTGCCTGCTGCACTGTATCCGCAGCTGTGAGCCCCGGGCCCTCGTGGTAGGCGCAGGTAAAGTAAGGGGTGAGGGCTCCCCCCTCCCCGCCCTTCTTTGATAGAACAGTTCACAAATAATGCTTTGTGTGTGTGATGAAGTGTGGTAGTAAGGATACAAAACCGTTTTTAGAGTTGTGACTGGTGGTTTAATTTCCCCTCTTCCGTTTCCATCACTCACTCTCTTATAGATTAGTTAATACCAAGACAAGTTCAAAAAACTTTTCTGAATTCTCTGCTTCTTAGTGCTTTGGGAGAGGGAGGCGGTGTTACTGTTATTGATGACTTCAGTGAATGCAAGAACTTGATAAGTTTTTAATTTTGTCCTATCTGACCAAATTATGTGATGAGTAGGATATATATCTTGATTTCATGGTGGAATACCTGCCTGCCTCTAAGAGTAACACTCTCAAGATTGACTACAGTTGAAGAACAAATATGTTTAATCTGAATTGCGTGAATTCTTATCTTCATGTCTGCTTTTATTTTGCACAGCTTGCAAGCTAGGATTTGCCTAGCAAGGTTAGGTTCCCATCTCCCAGCCAGTGGGCAGGCTCTTGGCTGACTCTTTCTCTCTCTCACCCTAGCCTAGCCGTGCCTGTCATTTTTTTTTTTTTTTTTTTTTTTTTTACCTTGAGTAGGTTCTAGTCTTCTCCCTCCTCCCTTGGAGTTAGGCTTTGGATATGCATATTGACACAGAACTACAAAGAGAAAGTTTCGGTTGAATATCTAATTAGGAAAGAACCTAGGGAGATGGGTCCCACAACCAAGTGGACTTGAATTATGACCAGTGATACTTATTTGGTATAATCTAATGGATTTTTGCATATTTTTCTTGCATGAGGATAGGCAGGTGGAGGATAAGGAGGCTCAACAGCAAGGGCCTTAGTGAAAGTTCTTAAGTATTTTAGACTCATAGGTACACACTAACACCTCAGAGAGAGTTTTTAGATTTATAGAGCATTAAGGAAAAATTATCTACATTTATACATTAGCAGTCTCTAAAGTGTAGAACTTTACGGATAACCTTTATTATATAACTCTTGCATATCACACAATAAGGGATTAGGTGATATATAGTACAAAGGTTAGTTTTTCAAGATTTTTCATTTCTGCCCATTCCCCTTGTCCTTCCAGCTCAACTTGTGACCTGAGAAAGTAGCAACTCACCAACAGTGAGTTTTTATCTGTAAAAATCAATTTGAGATGCTGGAGTTTGAAGCCAAAACCATTTAGTCAACCTGCTTAGTAATAGATAGGTAGAGAAATCAACCTTCAATCTTATTAATAGATTTTTAGCATACTTTAGGATACTTTAGAATATATAAATTACATATGTTTTTCAAAGATGGGACAATTATGTTTTATGTACTTCCTAGGTTGTTGTGTGTTTTGGGGGTTTTTGTTGTTTTTTTTTTTTTCTTTTTTTGGTAAGATGTGGCTTATCAAGGGGACTTTTCTGTATTTGAAGCTCTTAGCCCAATATAGTGTATTCTTGGCATCTTGAGTCAAATTAGTGAAAAATATATACATACAGTTTTTAGAGCTTTAAATTTTAGAGGTCTTAGGTTCTCGTGGAATGTTTCTAATGGAGATGTGTCATTAAACCATTATATCCCCAGGGAAAGTGTATTGAGAAAGAAATGAGTCAGAGGGTTTAGATGGAGATAAGCCAGACAGATTTGTATTTCATATATGGTCTACCACTTCTTAGCTGTGTCATTGAGGAAAAGGTCATCAGGTGCCCTGGGGCTCATTTTACTTTGTTGTAAAAAGGTGACAATACCAATCTACTTCACAATGTAATTTTGAGATCAAATGATGTAGCTTTTGTAAAATGACTAGCTGAGTGGCTTGTATGTACTAACTGGAGCTGTAGTGAATTGAAGTAATTGCTGCTATTATAAAGTCATCTTAGGCTTTTTGTTAGAACTGGCTTCAAACAGGTTTTATAGGCAGGCCAGATAATGTCTTTTAAAAAAATATATTGTATTTCCTTATTTATTTATTTAGAGAGAGGGACAGAGTGAGCAGAGGGAGGGGCAGAGGGAGAGAATCTCAAGCAGACCGCCTGCTGAGTGTGGAGCCCAAAACCAGGCTCCATCTCAGGACCCTGAGATCATGAACTGAGCTGCAATCAAGGGAATTTCAAGCTGAGCCAAATAATGACTTATAATTCTGTCTTCAGGAATAAGTCAAAGCAGGGGCACCTGGGTAACTCAGTCGGTTAAGCGGCTGTCTTCAGCTCAGGTCATGGTCCCGGGGTCCTGGGATCGAGCCCCATCGGGCTCCCTGCTCAGTGGGGAGCCTACTTCTCCCTCTTTCTTTGCCTGCCAGTCTGCCTACTTGTGTTCTTTCTCTCTGTCAAATAGATAAATAAAATTAAAAAAAAAAAAAAGGAATAAGTCAAAGCAAAATATATCAACTCATCTACCAAATTGTTACTGTCATTAACAAAAATATTAACAGTTGCCCTTTACACAAGGCTGATTATGTAAAGATACTCTCATTGCTTCTGAGAGGCAGGTACAGAGCTATATATTGGCAGCAGAGGGAAAGAAGTTCACTGAGGATGTCTAGTTTAACACAACTTAGTTTGCAGAGCAAAGATTCAAAAACTGATCTCTGATACAAGACTGTGCTGTACTATATAATATAGCCCAATTGTTTCTGAGGCTGTCAGCCCCCTTTTCATATAACTATGAAAAAATATACATTCCAGTTATATAGAAATAGTAAAATAAAAGTTGGCTATATATAGACACCAGATTTTTCACATACAGATAACTAGAAAAAATTAAATGTTTTTACAGCGCTTATTCATTTCTCTCACAGTCTGAAGGTTCAAAAGTACTTGCCAGAAGGTTTCCTATCTGTATAACATGGTTTTGAAGATGTGTCAAATGGCATTTCAGATTTCTTTGGAAAATTTGAGTGCTTACTCAAAATTAAATAGTGTTAGGTTAAATCTAATCCTTTCCTCCCAATATTTCAACTGTTATTATTACTATTAGTGGCTGTGGCCAAGATCATCATTTACCTCTATATGCTTTTCTCTTTACTTAGAATAAACAGGAAAATGTTTATCATGCTTGTATATCACTTTAAAAAGTCTATGCAATTATATTGATCTATTTAGCAATAATAATGTTAACAATAATAATAATCTCTTCTATTTCTAAAGTACTTTATGAGTTACAGATTGCTTTTATATATATATTGTCTTATGTGAGCCTCATCACAGCCATAGTCTCATTTTAAAGGGAGCGGAAGCATGGCTTAAAGCAGACAAGCCATCTCCTAGAGCTCACACATGTAGAAGAAGCAATGTACAGATTGGAACTAGCATTTCTGATGTGAAAGCCTGCTGGGTACACCTTTGTCTTTGTCCTCCTGCTCGTGTTCTTTCCCCCATCGCCATTGTTTTCTTTCCTTTCCTCATCCCTTCCTTCCCCACCGCCTTTCCTATCCTGTCTCTAGCCTTCCATCTATCCACCTACTTGCTTTCAGTATCTTTTCCACTAATCCCTCTTACCTCAGGTGTAGTATGGTTCTTCACAGTGACCCACTGATATGGTAAAGTTCTAGTGTGGACTCTGAGGAGGAGGCCTGGAACCAGGATGTAAGTAAGCTCTTTGAGTAGAAGAAGTTTGTCTTGTTTGCTGCTAAATTCTCAAAGCTTAGCACAAAGGAGATGCTCAACAAATATATATTGCCAGGATGAATGAATGACCTCATGAAAAATACAAGGTACATATGGACACTCAGTAACTTATTTACTTGCATATTTTTGCTAATACATTGTCCCACCACTGTCCATTTGGTAATTGATTTTGGTAGTAGATGTGTCAGTGGAATTTCTTTGTTGTGTTATTTTATATAAATGTTGCTAATTGTTAGAATCATGACTCCCCAAAAGTAGGAAGTGCTTTAGATACACTAAGCATCCCCAAAGTTTCAGATTTAGTTGCGTATATGTATTTTGTACTCTCTGCTATCTTAATATACACAAATTATTCTAAGTGGATAACTAAAAAATATATATTAATATTGCCCTGAAATCGTTTACTTTGGATTCAGTAGTATCAGCATGTTTGCAAAGGTTTTGTTTCCTGCTCACAAAAAAGGGCTCTAATAACTTACAGTAATGCAGGCAGATTTACCCTGGTAGTTTTCCTGAACCATTGCGTTCAGACTGTGCAGGGCAGATGTTCCAGTTAAGGATCAAGCCACTGTAATTCTCAAAATGACTTTCAGCCATAAAGGCATCTGCTTTTTAAAAACCAAGAAGAAGGGTTAGAGGAAAAATAAAGACCCTTTAAGTTTTATAGAAAAGTATATGTATTCAGATAGATAAGAAACATGGCTCCTGTAAACTTTTATTATTTAATCTAGGTGTTGTGATAACCGCACATCTATCTATATTCATTTTTAGGACATTTTTATATTTTTACTTACATTTAGTAGAATGAATGGCTGTTTTGCATTTTTATTTTCCATTTTAGACTCAGCTCAGTCAAAGATGACCTCCATTCCAAAAGAAAAGGCTCATTTCAATAGGAAGGTTCCCTCGCTGGAAAAGACAGTATTCTAAGCACTGATATACTTATGGTTTTTTTCTTGTCTGATCATGGGTTCACTGACTGGGGTTCTTATTTACAGTATCTGCTGAATATGTGTTCATGTAAGGGAAAGATGTTTGAATGCTGGCAGGAGCAAAAACTATTTAAAAGGAGATTGTACCTGCTCAGAGAAGTGGCAGTATTAAGTGGGAGAAATATACATCTTGGAGTCAGGAAAACATGGGCTTGAACCCTAACTCTTCCTTTAACTGACTGGTAACACATAGCAGATAATCAATGGGTATCAGTGGGTCTTGTGAATTAAACGTAAAGAACAGAAGAAAGTGCCTGGACCACAGTATATATTTAATAATTGGTTGCCATAATTGTTTTAATTACACGGAAGCAGAGACATACATGCAGAGTAAGAATGTCTACCTTTGCTGTCGGCAGAAG